ATATACTAACAATATTATAATATCTAATATCTAATATATTATATTCTAATAATATTATTATAGATATAATATTATGTATATTATAACATCTAATATTTTATATCCTAATAATACACGTATTATGTATAAAAAAAAATTGTTACCCAACGAACAATAAATATCATGAATTTGCGGAAAAATTCTGCTATATAATTGACAAGAGAAGCTCTCCCCGAGCTCCAAACTTTTGACGAAGCGATACTAATTACTCCCATTGATCTTCGCTTCCTATGAAACTATAATTACAATAAAAAAAAACTAGTCGGGCCATAATTGCCCCGTAACGATTATTAAAGGTCTTAAAAACGGTTTCGATATTGACGGGCGAATTTATCCTCGGAACAATAAGTTTTCAATTAGCTGGCCGATTGTCAAGGGACGCAGTAGCCCGGGACAAAAGTTTCGTTGTATAAAATATTCAATGATCGCGCGGTGATACTCCTTAAAAGGCGGCGGCGGCAGCGAGATTCCGTATTAATTAGAATTCCTTAATCGTTACGTGCCCGCGAGGAGATCGAGTTTGAATATCGGTTCGGTTCCCGTGCACTCGAGCATAGGTTCTGACGCTAAACGGGGACCGTGAAGTAGGGGGGTGGGGGGCGGACGGGTCCTTGCCGCTGCCTCTGATAGTAATGGCGGGTTCCTCTTACGTCATCGTATACTTCGGCCCGTCTAAAACCGTACTCGAGCGCGGCTGCGCCCGGTCGTTATTCAAATAGAATTTTCAGCGTGACAAAAAGCTTGTTCGGCCGCGTTTATAAGACTTTATACATATAGATGTTGCGCGCGGCACTCGTGGCACTCGTGGCACTTTAAGGATCGATACGACGTCACGGGGCGGAACGTCGATCGTCGGATCTGTAATTGATGGAAATTGGAAACGTCAAATTGTGGAAACGTGTCGGGGACAAGCTTGCGTTATCGATAGACCGCGGCGTCGATGCTTTTGTGACAAAAATCGGAAGATGAAACGCGAAACTGTGGAAACGTTCGAAAAGTTTGAAAATATCGGTCGCATCGATATCAATTTATTTAATTTATTGCGCAAAGAAATCAACGTATACGTGGCTTTTGTATCTTTTAATCGATGCGGACGGTTTTTTTTTTATTTTGAATGGAGATCTTTAGCGAACGTTTTTTTTTTATATATATAAATTTCTTTATCGATTTACGTTATCAAATTTTTGTACACCTTACCCATATATTTGTTAAGAATTTGAATGAATTGTAAATTGAAATTGAACGTTTAATATTATAATACTACTTTTATAAATAATAATATTGCTTTTATAAATCTATTCAGAATTTGAATTAATTGTGAATTAAAATTTAACATTTAATATTATAACACTATTTTTATAAGTAATAATATCGCTTTCATATATCT